TCTTTTTTTTTTTTTCCTTTTTTACATGACCTACATATCTTGTTCGCAGACACATAACTTTGAAGTGACCATGTTTGAATTCATTTTGAACCTGCACTGTTCCATATTAATGCCTCTGTTATTACTGAACAGCCTGAAAATGCTAATGAGATTAGCTAATGATGCTAACAGTGATTTTTATATTTATTTTCACATCCTCAAGGGAAACACTGGCTGATAGGAAAATCTAGTACTATTTTCCTGCAAGAACCCATTATGGTGATTCCCTTATCCCTACATTTAGGCAGTTCTTAATCATTTAAACACTTACTGACATTATCCAGGAATAATTTTATCAGATGTTACTAAATGAAATGCCACAAAAAGCCTATTGTACCCACAATTTTCAGCCATATCCTTGGCTCCACCAGTACTTCAAAGGAATCCATAAAAACCAAGTAAGAGCTAAGTCTATTGTCAGTTTACCTAAATCTGCTATATAAATATCTTACCTTCATCAAAAAATTTTCAGCAGTCAAAAGCTGACATACATTATAAAATACACTTGTAGTCTCCTTCCCTAACAAAAGCAAGTTTGCCATGCATGACCGTACACTCTCCATAAAGAATTAAACCAATGCATTGACTAAGCTTTAGCTCTATGGCTGTGCTTTAGGTTTTCCCACTAAGATTCTGTATCAGCTTTTCCACACTTTTGCCTGGGTTTGCCATCAAACTCATTTGCTGTTGGCTGTTTGGATTATTGTCAATTATTCTCTTGAATAACAGTGTATTTGGCACTGCTCTGATATTTTTCTGCTTTTGCCAAGAGGACAAGCAAGAGATTTTTTGCGGGCAACTTTAGATACCCAAAGTTCCAAAAAAGCAATGGCATTAAAAATTACTGTCCCTAACCAATACTGTTTAAATATCCTGCCTCTTTCAGTTGGTTTTGGAAAGGACTTCACAAACATGTATCAGCTTCCTTATTTTTAAACACAGACTTGAGCATCATCTCTATGTTATTTAATTATCTTGGTAAAATTAAATGAGAGTTAGGCATCCAAACAGAAACTCATGAAGAGGGACTTACTTCACCTAGTTTTTTATGTTTATACTTAGTAAATTTGTCAGCTCCTTTTACAGACAGTGGAATGCCACACTCACTCCTCAAACATGATTCATACAGAAAGACAAGATAAATAGTGTCTCGGATGCATAGCTATTCTATAATCTGGGTTTCCAGAAAAAAAAACAAACAACACAACAACAAGTGAACTAACACCTAACATAGGAATAAGTTTTGATAAACAAATATCATACAGCAGATACTTCAAAACAGAGCTAAAAACTTGTATAAATTCTAATCCCAGTTTACAGGCTTTGTTTTCCTGAAAAGCTTGTCACCTCACACTTCTGCTTCAAGCCTAACGAACTGAAGAAAATAGCAATGTTAATGCATTACAGCTGGTATAAAGTACACCAGCTATTCCAAATTAATGAAATTAATTCAAGTGCACTTATATACCTATAGAATGGTATCTGTGAATTTGTAGATTTAAAATCTAAGAAGTATGAGCTTACCTAGAGATACAGTAACTAGAATCATGAGCTCTGAAGCAGTAAGAGCCTTAAAAAATTGTGATCAAGAGATAAAGCAAGTCATTGTTTGAGTTAGCACAGCCTCTGTGAAAGGAGATGCTCTTACAATGTAAACATTGTTTTAGAAAAGAGAGGAAAAAAGCTGTCATATCACAGCAACTTAAAAAGCATGGTATGTTAAACATACTACCCTTCTTCATTTTAGTTCTTGTTTCCTCTTAGCAGAAGATGACATCACCCAGATTTTGCCTAAGCTTCCCCTGATATGAAGTAACATCTGAAAACGCGTTCAGAAAATATCATCAGTCATCAATCATCCTCTGTAGTCAAAGTGTAAACAGCTGATATCACAGTCCTGGTAAACTAGGCAAGTTAAACAGCCTCAAATAAAATAGAAACAATTAAATAATCTTTCTGTGTTAGCAACTTACAATGGAAGCTATTACTCAAAGAATATCAGAGGACTGGAGCAGAAACAGAGACATGTGAACCAAAAGGTTTTCCAGATGGGTGATTGTTAATTTAGGAGCTGGAGCAAGCAATGTTTGTGTAAGGAAAGAAAGCATTCCAACAATCAGCAAGAAATAGCAATGTTGAAAGCCCTCTTCCCTCAGCCCTCTTCCCAAGAAACGAAGATAAATGCTGTTCTTCCCTCTTCCAGGAAGTGCTGGAGCAAAGCTGTCACAGATGTGTCACTAGGAACCAATAGGTCAGGAGAGAGGTAATGCTCAAGATGGAGTGAGGGGTGAGGGAAGAGAGGTTGCTCTGCTGGGGGTGAAGAACTCAGCAAAGCAAAAAAAAACAACCCAACCATACAAAAAAAAAAAACACCAAACACTGCAAATCCAAACGTAATCACCCACAAACCAGAATTTTCTACTCAAAGATCTTGTCCAAAAAGCCTAACAGTACCATAACAGCCAATGGCATTATACTAGAAGCTTCAGTACTAAGGAATTAAACAGCACTGTCTGAATTTAGCAAGAAATAGCTCCTACTTACATACGAGCTTACAGGACAATATTTCAGATGCTCCTCTTAGATGACAAACATTGGTCTAAGTAGACTGAAAAAGCAGCTGAAACAACATCTTGCACCTTTGAGTCTTCCAGCTGATGTGCTTTAAAAGCATGCCAGCTAGTACTCCATTTAGTGAGCCTCTTCAGAAAATAGGCACTAGGTTAAGTAAGAGAGTGTTTGGCTTACAGTCCTCACAGTTCAAGGGAAATAAACCCAATAGAGCCCACGTTCTTCAGTCTTGGCAACATCAAGACACCGCAGGGCTTTAACAGAGGATTAGAGGTTAAATTCTTGAGAAAGTTGATATCAACACTGAAGTTTAGGGATACATAACCTGTCTTTTCTAGAAGACACTTGACCAAGCCCATCATCCTCTCTGAACTAGCTTTCAAGCTTTTTTTTTTTTTTTTTTTAAAACCTCCACCCTAAAAGGAATAGGCAAACTTACTTTTGTATTTATACCACATTCATCTTGCATATTTTGAGTTGGTTCAGTTAGGAGACAAGGAAGACCTGTAATCAGTGACCATAATCACGTATCTTCTGTTACTAAGATAAGCTTCCTTAAGCGTCTCCCAAGATAGACCAATAGTTAAAATTCAGTCAGCGAGATTATGATCTCCGATAAAGTTCTCTACCTACAGTCCCTTCAAGGTTTTAGAGGACACTGTGGTGGTATTTTTCGCAGGCTTAGGAACTGTGAGCAAATGGACTTGGTTTGTTTTTATTACAGTAAAGGAAATAATTCTTTGAAACAAAAGTATAATCGATCCATAGAAACTTATGACATCTTCAACTTCTCATGGAAATTAATGAGTAAACTCTAATTAGGTTTAAAATATGCTTAGGAAGGCTAGAAATTTTTGAAAAACAACAATGGAGAAAAAATCCAACATGACAGAAGAAGGTTAATGGCAGGCAGTGAGATTATTTCCAGTGGCAAATTGATTGGCTTCTACTTCTCTGCAATTTCAGAACTGATGTCAGACATTACTTAGGGTAGGTTTCCACTTTTATGAAGGACTTGCCTTCCAACTAGCCTTACTCATTATGATACTTCATAAATTAATGCTGTAAGCAAATTATTACATATGAATAGTCTAGCCAGTCAAAAGTTTGGCTGCACATAGGCATACACAGAATACTCTGACACATTTAAAAGGTTATGTCACCATTGAAGACCTAGTACAAAAGGTAAGAAGTGGTCTCAGACTACTCTCAATTTTAATTTTAACATTTCCTCATTATTTGAAAAGCGTGTGGTTTTATATCCATTTTAAGAAAAAATATTATTGGTATGGAGCCCAAGTATAACCAATGTGTGAAAACAGACCATGGAAACATGCACTGCTCAAAATCACATTGCCCAAGAAATACGCCAATCTACTAAAACTACAACCTTGTAATTTACGTCTTAAATCTTATTGACTAGTTAAGAGACTACCAAAGTGAAAATACTGTCAATGTTGCGTTACAGGATAGTCACCATATTTCTTACCAAACTGTCACATAGAAATTGGTCGAGTTGTCAGCATTCTTCTCTCCTGCATAGACTACTCTGACATTCCATTCAATACGGTACAAAATGCTGCTTTTTAAATCTCTAATGGATAACATGAAATCACCATGAAAAGTAAATATCAGAAAACGGTGATGCTTTAATAGCCCAAAAGTACTGTCAGAATAAAGTATATGTACAGTCAAGTTATAGGTATAGTAGATTTTATAATGCAAAACAAGTGAAAATGTTAAACACATGTATACTTCAATGTCTCTTCGATATTTGAATTTCATTTCCAGAGGAAACACAAGGCTTCTGATTTTTCTGATAAAATTTGTTCTATTGTCAAGCACCCAATTTTGTACAGCAATATTTAGTAGGAGCACATGGGAAGAGACTTAAAAGACTGGGTTGCTTAAAAGAATGGGTCAGCTCTATAGAATGGAATTTCAACAGGAGTTGACTCAATCTGTAATGCATCATATGAATCAGAAAATTAATAACGAGTTTTTACAGTTTTCCAAAGTAGATATTACGTATCGAGAATGCTGCTGTGTACAACAGCAAAACAAAATCCAGTGTTTCATACTTATTCAAGCACGTGCATCAAATTAATTCTCGAAGCTATATGTGAACAAACACAGCCTACTTTATGGAAGAGACTAATTTTCGGGGGTGGGGGGAAGAATCTATTGACTAGTCATAAAAAATACATTACACACAAATACACTTAGATTTTGAAATGATGGTCAAATCAAATTACTTTACAAAAGTACAAAGTGTACTTTATCACTCATGTAGATTAACCACCTTGAGTTTGTTGGGTTTTTTTGGTTTGGTTTTTAAGTAACAGACATTTTAAAAAAAATAATTATTTACAAAAATACTGATAATGGCTCACATTTCTACCACCGCGATACTTTCCTCTTCTTTTGATCTTTTCTACCATCTCGGCAGAATCTCCAGTAGATTTTTGAGTAACTACATGCTGCTCAGGCTCCTCTTGCATAAGATCCATTGATAATATGTTCTGACTCAGTTCACTGACATATTTCAATCCATTTACATCCGAAAGCTTCTGGTTCTGTGAAATGGTTGAAACGGCTTTTTGAAGGCCCACATTAGTATTGGTGGTTTGTGTTTAGCTTTTTCCGGAAACAGCACTGCTTCAGTTTCAGGGGTAGGAAATCGTACTCTATACACTTCAGGGTAAGATTTCTGAAACTAGAAAAATACATCAATTTAAATGAAGAATTCATTCAAACTTGTAATTTAAAAAAAAACCCTAACTTATTCAAGTGCAACCTCCACCTCTGGAGCAGGAAAACTTACTTCTCTAATGGTCTTTCCTTAACTCTCTGTAGAAAATTAGGTGATATTTTCTAATATGGTTTGATTTGTCACGGTACCCCACTCAAAATGATTTAAAAGCTTGAAATCCCCAAGAGTACCTACTACTTTAAATCTCAGTATTTCTCTAGAGAACTACATGTCTAAGACTTGATAAAGCTTTTTAAGTCAAAAGCAAAGACTGCGGAGGAGTATTTATTTACTTGCTTGAGCTGCTTCTTCTTATCTTTCACAGATATTTCTTTATTCATTGCAATTTCTTCCAATAAAGCTGCCAGTGGTTCTTGATAGCCAGTTGCCCTTTGGTATTCAAATTCATCTGTACTGATTTGGTGACAAAATGATGGAGGACGAAAAGTTGCATCAGTATCAGCTCCAGCATATTTTATCTGAAGAGGGAAAAAAAAAAGCAGTGATGTTTTCTGCAATAAATTTGCAAAAACTGGCTTAATCAAATTGACCACTGGAAGTCATTAAGTAGAGCAGATATGGAATAAAGACCCTAAATAGTACCTCCTATCAGTGCTCGCTAAGAGGAAAACATATTTTAGAGTTCTCGTCTCTAAACCATTCAAGATCTACTTAGTTTCATTTAAATATTTAGTTATGGTTGAATACCAGCAGTCAAAATCAATTAGCTTTTCAGAAGCCAGCAGAGACAGAACGAAGTCTGTAAGAACTATCAAACTTCAGAACGGAAAGGATAAATTTGATCTAGAAGCACAGAGGCAAAAGAGGCTTTTTTTCACTAGATACCTACTTGGACTCTCTGGAGATGTACAACATGTTCCTCTATAGAACATTTTAAGGCGGAAGGAACACTTAAGATCTCTTGATAATTGTCCATGAGAAAAGATACTAGTTTAGCAGCAAGCAGTTCATCCAAGTCCATTTCATCCTTTGAGCAGAGAATACAATGGGAAAATGCCTGAACCATCTGAGAAAAAAAAAACAAACAAAACCCACCACATCATTACTGTACATTTTTCTGTTTGGGGGCAGGGAGTCTGATTGTATTTATAAAGTGACCTTTTAGAAAAACAAATATTTCAGAGATTTTAAAAAGAACACAGAAATTTGGTAGCAGTTAAGTACTAGAGGGAAAACTTAATACCCATTATTCTGAAATCATCAAAACAAAGTTCAGGTCCAGCTCACTTCACGTAGTCTCCTGCTCAAGCATTCAGTTACAAGTTTTCTGTCTGTGCACCAGTCCCTTCTAACATTTAAAGCACAGAAGGCAATAGAGGTTTTCTGTCATGTACCATAGACTACACTGCTGAATTAAAACTTAGTACAAAATACTTGGACTGTAAAGGATTCACTTCTAAAAATAACATTTAGATCATAATATAATTATTTTAATCAAAGACTATTTACAGTTAATTAAATTATATACCTTAGCAGTCAAAAATTTAATTATTTTAATCAAATACTATGAATAGTTAATTAAAAATTTAATTACTATGAAACAAATTTAGATTTATGTATGCTACTGTAAAATTTTTATAGAGTGGCTCTACAGATGAGTTTTCTGTTGCCCTTCTTGCAAAAAACTCAATAATTAACCAAAATAAATACATGTTCTTAGCCAGTTGGAACTGTTAAGTTATGCTTAATATCTTTGTAATAACATGCTGTTGCAAACACCAGTGAAAACTCTACAACTAGTCCTGCAGAGGGCGTTAGCAAAAACTAGGGCTTTGTCACAATCTGATTAAAATTACTTTCAGAGATTTCTATAGTTAAATGATGAAAAAAAATTAACATTGAAATAAACTGCTAGGAATTTTTTTTTTAAATGGCTTAAAACAGGTAAATCAAAACATTCAGTTATGTATTTCTAGCTATGACTGAAACAAGCAATCTGTTTCTCTCAAACTATCTGCCGTAATAAAGAACAACAAAGACCTCATCTACTCTATTTTAATTTTTTTCTACTCAGTAGTGAAATTAGTGGTGATTTAACTTTGAAACCTCTAAATCCTGATCAAATTCTTCATTTGCTCACAACTTATCAATAAATCCCAATTTATTCAAATTCAGAGTACCTTTTGCACATAACTAGGATAGATGAACCATTCTTCAAACAAATAAACTGTGTTTTGTACACGATCTCAAGAGAGAATCATTTGTCCGTGCTGCTCCAAAAGCCTTGTCTAGTCCTTTTGCATTACACTATACGTACCAAGGTTCTGGTCCTCACAGATTCAGAAAGAGGTGGCAAATCTTTGTTAAGGCTAATTCTTGCCATCATCCTGACCAACAGCTGTAGTCTTTTCCGATTTTCTGGTGGCAGCAGGAGACAAGATATCTGAAGAGCTTCTACGGCCTTGCTGTGTTTTTGCAGCAAACCTGGTTTATACAAGATCAGGAGATTGGGCAACATTTCTCAATTGTATATTTCCATAACATTTAACATAACATTTCTAAATCTGCCTCCCCAAATTCCTTTCCTACTGATTCAAGACTGCCTTAGAACTCCACTCCCCAAAGAGTCTAGGAAGATATCCTTACAACTGGACTACTAGAACTGGGCACCTTTTTTAAGTGTCTAAGATTTCCTTTTGATGCATTAGGACATATTAATAACCATAACCCACAACTCTAGATATTAGTATTTATGAAAAACTACAATGTTTTGATTCATCCTTTGCTTTTTTAAAACTGTCAGCTCTAAACACAACCAAGATGAATGCATAGATGTAACAACCACATTAAAAAGTTAAGTCTGTGGCAACAGAGAATCTAAACAACACATACTTATGTATCAGTGACAGCTTTGACAATACTGACATGTCCCTTACACGTATGGGTTAAATCTGTGTTAAATCTATGACTAATTCTACTTACAAACTCTTGAGAAAACAGAGAATGTGAGCATAGCAGAGATATTCAAAGACTGGACAGGAACAGCAGAATCTGATGGTAGTATATGTACCCTATAAAGAGGTCTCACCACCAAAATGCCATCCTCTTTTGAGTTTCTAAGGCTCAGTGGGGGAAGCATCTTCTACTCATTTTGCATAAACAGCATTAGCATCAGAATAAAACAGAAGTGAGGAGCAAAATATCTGTATGACTGAAGTCGAACAGTAGAATCACAGAATCATTTAGGTTGGAAGAGACCTTGAATATCAAGTTCAACCATTAACCCAGCAATGCCAAGACCACCACTAAACCATGTCCCTAAGCACATCTACAAGTCTTTTAAATACCTCCAGGAATGGTGACTCAACCACTTCCCTGGGCAGCCTGTACTGATGCTTGACAACCCTTTCAGTGAAGAAATTTTTCCTAATATCCAATGTAAACCTCCTCTGGTGCAACCTAAGACTATTTCCTCTTGTCCTATCATTTGTTACTTGGGAGAAGAGACCAACACCCACCTTGCTGCAACCACCTTTCAGGTAGCTGTAGAGAACAATAAGGTCTCCCCTCAGCCTCCTTTTCTCTGGGCTGAAGAACCCCTGTTCCCTCAGCCACTCCTTATAAGACCTCCTCTCAGCCTCTTGCCATACGACAGATGGTCCAAGCCCTTAATTTCTGTGTCCCTTCATTGAACACACTGACTAGCACTGAGGAAAGCTCTCCCTCAACCTGCTGGCAATGCTCTTAATGCAGCTAAGGATGCTGCTGGTCCTTTTTACCACAAGGACACACTGCTGGCTCATGGTCACATTAGTGCCCACCAGGACTGCCAAGTCCTTCACAGTAAAGCTGCTTTCAAGTCAGCCACCCCAGTATGCACTGGTGCATGGGGTTATTCCTCCCCAGGAGAGGACTTGGCATTTCCCTTTGTTGAACATTTTGAGATTCCTGTTTGCCCATTTCTCCAGCTTGTCAAGGTCCCTCTGCATGGCAGTACAACCCTCTGCTGCATTAACTGCTTTTCCCCATTTTGTATTGTCTGCATGCTTGTTTAGGACAGTGTCCCACCATCCAGGGCATTCATGAAGTGTTAACTACTACTAGCCCCATCATTAGCCCTGGGGTACTCTCTACTGATGGACCCTAGCTGGACTTTGTGCCACTGATCGCAACGCTCTGAGCCCAGCAATTCAGCTGATTTCTGGTCCGCTTCACTACCCACTTATCTAGCCTGTACTTCCTCAGTTTGCCTGTAAGGATGTGACGAGAATTTCACCCCAGTCAACATAAAAAACATTCACTGCTGTCCCCTCATCCACCATGCCAGTCAATTCCACACTGTGTAAAAAGTGGAAGCTGTTACTGAAAAAAAAAGAACAGAAATGTACGGTTGTAGGTAGGGCAGCCAAAATAAACAGTATTCCAAGAAAAGAGCTATAAAGCACGGTAGTTGATTTCATTTTCAAAGCAAAGCTTTTTCTAATTTCAAAGGAAGATTTGGCAAGCACCACACTGCATGTGTTTAGAAGAGGCCTTGAGAAATAATAATTAACCTTACTGAGATTTGTGCATAAAGAATCATTACAACCTGTGCAAAAAGCAAGTTTAACCTTAGCAAGTTAGTAAAATATCTGATGATCACTGACACCTTAGTCCTATTTTCTTAGCTATTCTGAAAAATAATTTCAGCCAGCCTCTTAGAGAAGTAGTCCTCTAGACAGTCTTCATTCAAAAACAGAAGCAAGTGACGCATCTTGATATGATTACACAAGCCACCTATGATTTCTGCAAATATTTATAAGGTTTTAAGACATATACAAATCACACCATTGCTGCCTCAAATGATAGAAAATATCATCTGATAACACTTTCTTTGTTATTTTCTGAAGTCTTCCACTAAACAGAAAGCTTACCCACTGAAGGAAAAAAGAAGTCTTGTAATCACTGTGGAAAGGTTGTAATTCCCTGACAGTAGCAGTATGAAAAGTCAAAGACTTCAAAACGGAAATCTTGTTTTATAAATATTTTAAGATCGAGAATCAATGACAATTTAGCAAGCCATGCTTCATAAAAAAAACACAGAAATGCAACTGCAGACATGGATCTGTATTTCCATTTTTTGTAAATGCAAGCTTGCTAAGTAACTGCTGCTTCACAGGCAGCATTCAGTACTAGCATTGACACTCACTACAAAATAGTATTCTATGGAGTGTGCATTGTCCTCTACGTTTCCCTACCACTTCATAATGGTCTGTACATTAACCTCATTTTTAACACTTAATTACATATTGAGCAGGACCCACAACTTCCCCCTTTCTCTCTCAGCTGAACCCTCAAAAAGCCACTTATTCCTCCCATTCTCCCACCACCTCCAAGAATCACAGATCAAATCTCAGAAGAGAGTCCGAGTGGTTAGAGAAGACCTTGCTACCGAAAATACAGATCAGGCATCTATGCCTTCTGTTTACTTGTTTATTTTCTTACTACTGCTTCTAAGTGGTTCTGAGTACAAGAAGGAGAGTTAAGCTTCACAGCAGGTACGCCAAATTGTCTTCTTGAACTCCCTCCACTGGCTAGATAGGGACCATAGTGTTGAATTATTGAAAAAGTGGAAAAAACACCTGGGGATCATTTGGCCTAACCGCATCACCCAGTCACAGCGAGTATGCCTAAACTCAGTATCCCAAATCATCCCACTAAGGCCAAATGCAGCTTTTTAGCCATTCAAATACATGTGTTAGGTGTCTAGAGGAGGCTGTTTAGGCAAGACTTCTACAGAAATGTAACATTTTCAAATGTATACTGCCAGTACTTTAAAGTAAATTGTGTAAGTATGAAGAGGAAAAACAAACTAAGTTGCTCTTGAAAGCCTGTTTTCCCATGATTTTTTTGTGCAGATCTATTGTTGTTAGTAAGGAAAATTCCATATTGACACCTCATTTTTTGGGGGAAAGAGACCACAAAATGATTTTTTGACTTTTTGATACAGTGCACAATTTCCTTTCATTTCCACATAAGCCAACAGAAAGTATGAAGGAGAGGAAAAATTTTTAAAGATATAATCAATAATATCCATTGTCTAAGAAAAAGAACTTAGAAAGGAACTATGTTCAGTTTAAAGCAAGATTGTCAACTAACAAAGTATGAAAATACTAAATTCCAGAAATATAAGTGTTATTTTGAATTCCTTTTCCACCTCAATTTATTAAAAGCAATGTTGTTGCCACTTCAAGAAGCTCAGAAAAGTGATATGCTACAAAGCATGCTTACTTCTCAGCTTAGCTTTACTTTTCTGAAATGTATTCCAATATTTTCATATACTGTATTTCAACAGGCCATCTATGGTTACAGATAGATGAACTTGATATAATGTGAAACTTTAAAAAATTATAGTTAATAGCTAAACTATTACTTCTTTAAAGGATTAGATTAGTTGACATCTGTTCTAAGTTTAAGCAATGAAGCATTTCAATTTCCTTCAGATGTCATATTGCCAGGGTTAATAACAGTCCTTACAGTCCTAATCCCTTTTAATCTAGACTTCAGTCAAGCAGTTTCTGAAAGCTAATGTGAGTTTTTAAGATGCTTAGGCATTTGTAAAAAAAAAAAAAGAAAAATCTGTTAAAATCCATTTTTTAGGTGTGCCAGTGCTAAGCAATGAACAGAGGCCTTTAAAAATTATAAAGGCAAGTAATGGAAGACTTTTGAACTAATATGATCAAGAAGACAAGAATAAAACTATCTTGTGATATGAAACAGATTTAAACATTGAACTTTTCTCTATGTAGAACAGAAAGGGAAGGTCTTAAAGAAATGTGCTGTGATACTATTTGGGTATGGTAAATTAATTTCAGGTAGTTAATTCAAAAGAATAATTTCTTCAATACATCCCAAACCGCTTACCTAACACACTAACAAAAATATCAAAAAAATGAAATGTGAGAAGGGGTTCTTTCATCTGGTTAAAGTAGTCCACTATAGTTTTGAAGACATCTCTTTCAAATCCTGAGTATGTAGGCTGCTTCAAATCTGAGCAGCTGGGCCCTACAAAGAAAAGAAAAGAAAAAAAAGAAAAAAAAAAAAGAAAAATTAATTTGCAGCCACCAATCAGATCACTATTTTCTATTCCAGCCAATAAAAATGCAACATCAAGTAGAAAAAAACACCCCAAAACTTAGGCTCATTCTTCAAAATTGTTTTGATCTATTGAAATTATCTATTTCCAATAGGTCTAGTGAAATCATGTAGTAGAGGGAAAACATGCTTAGGATAGCTAAACTTTTATATATTTCATTGAAATACGCTGCACTGGCAGAAGAATATATGCTGGCTGATCTTTTCCAGCTCTGTTTAAGGCAATGATCAGAAAAGTATTAACGATAAATATAAACAGGATTTGATAAAGCAGTAAAGGCACAGTCAGTTCAATTAACTTTTACAGGGGTGGGCTGGTTTGGCTTTTTCTCTCCTTCTGAATTTACTTACAATTTGCTAGACATTTCATTGCTGATAATATCCAGTGAGGTAGTTCCTCTGCATAAGGGAGAAACAGACAGACATTAAAAGGAGAAAAAGCCTGAAAAAAATATTGAACTTTAAAATAAAAGAGAAGCTGAAAATTCTTAAAGAAGTTCCTCCTCTATAACAGATCGACTGATTGCAAAGGCAGGCTATTTCTTAAGGTAGGATCTAGCTTGAACTACATCTCTACTTCAGCACCTCCAGTACTCAATACCAATCGGTTGTGCCTACTGCTCTTACAACTCTACCAGCAAAACAGATCACATCACAAATACTTAACCTGTCCTGCAAAAATCAGCCAAACCAGTTCAAGCTGCACCTTCACTGGTGCATTACAGTGAAGTGTTTACTTTGCACTGAGGATAATGAAAAGCACTCATACATTCAGCTCTGTCATTTCTGCAAGGCGGAAATTGATAACTTGAAGTCCTCCAATTGTCTGTAAAATGAACGTACATATGCTCTAGAGGAGGTTTCATTCACAAACCAAACCAGGTTCCAATCTCATACTTCACTTCTCTACAAAATCTTGTGGAAAATATGATAGCAATAATATCATAAGTGATATATCACAGCAGTAAAGATGCTTTACTTTCTCCCTGATGTGCAAAGCAGTTTTAAACTTGGTACTACTTTCAAAACACATTGATTGAAAACTCAAAACTGAGAAATTTTAAGCATCTCTCAGCATCCCTTTTGATTCTTTCCCAATTTTTAGTACACATTTCCCTCATGTAAACACTATGATTCAGGCAGCTAAGGGCTAGGCTGACAAAGCCAACTTAAAATGAATAGTATCCCTATTTCTTTAAATGAAAAGTTGTTGCTCTTTCACCTTAATCTTTCAATCCTGCTACAGCAGGAATATGTTTAAGAGAGTAAATGTGGAAGAAACACAATTCTTACTATGGGGAAGTCAAAGGACAACAATTACATACTTTGTAAAAACTCTAGTATAGATGTGGTCATACAAGCATAAAGATGCTACATGTTAGTATGGATTAGAACTAACACTTTTTTTATACTACAAAACCACAAAAGAAAAAAGTTAAATGAAAACTTCTAAAATACTCACTTGATTTGTCTTCTAAAGTGACAATGCCTTGCTTATTGACATTGTATGCATTGTGAACTATATGCTTTGAATTCACAAGCTTTGTGTCTAACACTTCATCCAGAGAATCCAAACCCAAGACCTTTTGCAATCTGTAAAAATATATAAATGCATAGTTTATGAAACTTACTTAATGTACATTTGATTACTGCATCCAGATCATTTATAAAAACATTAAAGAGCACTAGCCCTAAAACTGAGCCCTGGGGAACCTCACTGGTGACTGGTAGACAACTGTGCTCTTAAGAGATGGCTCTTAAAAAGTGAGCAGAATTCACGGACCCTAATATCTTGAGAAGTCCCAAAGGACCTTACTAACTAGGCTCCTTCGGCAGCCTGAAGTCTGCTCTCCCCATATCCAAAGTTATTGTTTTGCTGGCAGTTTTTCTCCTATTGCAAATGATTTGAAACTCAACTACTTCATGGTCGCTGTGAGCAAGACAGCCACCAATCACCACATTGCCCATGAGTCCCTCTCTGATTACAAACAAAAAAGATCTAGGAGGGCACCTTTCCTTGTCAGCTCCCTTAGTACCTGTACTAAGAAGTAATCTTCAACATGCTTCAGAAATTTCCTAGACCTGTTTGTGTCTGCTGTATGATATTCCCAGTGGAAGTCTGGGAAGTTAAAATCAGCTATAAGGACAATGGTGGTTGATTTAGAGACATCCCTTAATTCCTCGTAGAATAATTCCTCGGTGCCATTGTCCTGACTGGGTGGTTGGTAGTAGACTTCCACAACAAGATCTGCTTTATTTCCTTTCCCCTTCACCCTTACCTAGATTGCAACCGTGTCATCGCAAACTGTAAGCACCATACAATCCAACCCCTCCCTTACATACAGTGCCACCCCTTCACCTCACCTGCCCTGCCTGTCCTTCCTGAGGGCCTGTAACCATCCGTCACAGCACCCCAGTCGCAGAACTCATCCCACCAGGTTTCCTTTATGCCAGTGATGTCGTAGGTCTGGGACTGGGCCAAAGCTTTGGGCTCTTCTTGCTTATTCCTCATGGTGCATGCATTAGCGTGACGACATTTCAAATGCACTTCAGTACTCAGTACACTGTGGAGCAGCCTGAAGGACCTGGATAGCACACCGTCTGTCAAACACAGGTGTGCTGCCCCTAGGTTTATCTCTAGTGAGCCTGGTTTTGTCCCTTTCCCTATTCAAATCTAGTCTAAAGCTCTTTCAATGAGCATTGCTAACTCCTGCGCGAAGATCATTTTCCTCCTTTGAGACAGGTGTACCCCACCAGTTGCTAGCAGGCCTGGTGTCTTGTAGACCCACCCGTGATCAAAAACCACAAAATTCTGCAGGTGACACCAGCCTCAGAGCCAGGTATCAATCTCCTGGCTTTTCCTGTTTCTTCTCTCATCATTCCCTGCAACTGGAAGGATATAGGAGAGCACTGTTTGTGCTCCTGATCCCTTGACCAGTCATCCCAGTTTCTCATAGTGTTCTGGTTGAGCCAGTTTCTCATAGTGTTCTGGTTGAGAAACTGATAACTACTGGCCTGGATAGGCACACCCTCCTTTGGGTTAAAAACTGGCTGGATGGCATGGTCGGGCCCAAAGAGTGGTGGTAAATGGGGCTAAATCCAGCTGGAGGCCAGTCACCAGTGGGGTTCCCCAGGGCTCAGTGCTGGGTCCAGTTCTGTTTAACATCTTTATCAATGACCCGGATGAGGGGATTGAATGTACCCTCAGTAAA